AGTTGACTGGACTCCTCTGGAAATGTTAGATTTGAGGAGATTCAAGGAAGTGATAGTCTCATGTGGTATGCATTCACATTTTTTGAGGCAGATGTTAAATTCACTGTCAACTAGTAATAGAATTATCTAACAAGTCTGGAGAGACTTGGTTATAGCAGTATTAGAGTCTGGTCCTCTATTATAGTGGAGGACTTGATAGATGAGGCTAGGACCATTGAACAATGAAGTAGGGTGAGAGGTATTGAAATCTCCCAAGAGCAACTTCTTGGAGAGGGTGATGCACAAAGACAGTCTATATATGATGACCACACCCTGGCTCTATGCCATGCAGCAGTTTTGAAAGCTTGGAACAGAACTGACAAAGTCAGAAAGAGAGCTGAGTCATTTATTAAAGTTATACAGGGCCCAAAACAAGGCTTCACTGATTTTTTTTTACAAAGATTAACTTTGGCAGTAAATAGAATGATACCAAATTCAGAAACTAGCTTTTGAAAATGCTAATGCACAATGCAAAAGGGTAATTAGGCCTTTAAAGGTAAGGTCAGCACCTACAGAGGAACTAATCAGAGATACAGTCAAGATTGAATCTCATAACCATGATGATGACTGGACAGGAGAGTTGATTTCTAGAGGCTTGAAGAAAAATCAAAATGTCAGGTGTTTTAATTGTGGCAAACAAGGTCACCTAAAAAGGGATTATAGACATGAAGTTCATAGAAACAATGTTTTTTCTACGAATAATACGAACAGACTGCCCCTTCCTTCTGAAGTATGCAGAAGGCGTGACAAAGGCTGACACTGGATCAATGAATGAATGCAGATCAGCAAGACACAAACAAGTTAACCCTTTGTCATTGGAAAACACCTTGGAGCACCTCTTGCTGGTCCATGTATCAAATTTTGTTCAGTTATTCCCTGTCACCATGGGAAAACTCCATCCCAGAATGTAACATGAGGACCTGCTTGTTGGGGTTTCTGTCCTGCCCTGTTTCCTCAGTCATTTATCCCCAAGGAAATCACATAGAGAATCTACATTAGTTATAAACTGATTGTCCCATTAGCTCAGGTTTCTTATTAACTCTTACAACTTATATTGCCCATTTTTCTAGTATATACTAGCCTCATGACTCAGTACCTTTTTTCAGTGGGGCAGGTCACATCTTCCTTCTTCGGTGTCTGGACAGGACTACGGAGGAATGGGCTTCCTCCTTCCCAGAATTCTTCTTCTCAATGACCTGCCTCTACTTCCTGTCTGGTTGTCCTGCCTATACTTCTTGCCTGACAACTGGCCAATCAGCTTTTATTTAAAATATAATTGACAGAATATAGGCAATTCTCCCACACCACCGGAACAATGAAAGAGCCTAATGCCTATTGTAAGAAACCATACTGCTCTGTAAGATAGAACAACTTTAGAAGATAGAGCAAAAATTTCAGGAGAAACATAAAGCAAATATTACAAAGATTAGATTTGAAAAAGAGAAACCTCTTAATTAGAAGAGGAGATAGTTCATCAAACAGCATGACAATTCAATATAAACTATATGATCAATATAAATATAAAACAGTGAGACATGAGACATGTCTGCTCCAATCTACTTTAGCACTAATGGTGGCAGCACAAATCTACTTCTGTAGGCAGAGACTGCTTGTTCATTTCCTGGCTGCCCAGACCCAAATAATCACACAGAAACTATATTAATTACAACACTGTTTGGCCAATATCTCAGGCATATTTCTAACTAGCTCAAATATCTTAAATTAACTCATTTTTATATTTTGTGTATCACCTTGAGGCTGTGGCCTACCAATAAGTTCCAGCATCTGTCCTTTTTGGCAGCTACATGGAGTCTCTTTGATTCCACCTACTCTCTTTCTATATTTCTTCCAACCTGGCTATATTCTACCCTACCATAGGCCAAAGCAGCTTTATTTATTAACCAATAAAATCAATACATATACAGAAGGGCATCTTACATCATCTCCCCCTTTTCTGTTTAATTAAATGGAAGGTTTTAACTTTAACATAGTAAAATTACATATATAAAACAGTTATCAAACAAGAATTATAGTTATAATATTTAGTTCATCTACATTTGGCAAATTAAGGAAAAAATTCTATCATCTATTCTTTCTTTGGAGTCTCAAGTTTTATATCTAATTTATCTTTTATCATAGGAAAACTATAGCTATAAAGCATGAACCCAGAAGAACTGTCTCACCTTTTTTGAGCAAGTTCAGCAGTCATTTCTCTGTGAGTTCTGCATGCCCAGTTTATACAGCATACCATCAAGCAGTCTAGGCAAGCCCAGTTTCTTGCCCAAATGCCTAGCCTTGCCACATTGAAGGCAAATTTCATAATGAGTTTATTTAATGCCCATCAACCTCTCTGAAGGAATTGGTGCTGCCAAAAGCAGACATGTCTCACTGTTGAGAAAAGTCTAAGTTCTTAAACTTAAAACATTTCAAATGCCATATTCTGTAGGTCTCTGAAAGAACTGAAGAATACCTACCCATCTGAAATATATCTCTCTACCTGTAGAAAGCCTAACTAACATGACTACAAGTATGACTATTATAAATGACTATTAATCTATAATTTTTAATTATATATTACATTTTTAAATGAGCTGTATAAACATAATACCTTAAACAAGAGTAGAAATATACATATAACAAAATTGACCTAAAATTTGTATTAATAGACCAAGGTTCATACCAATGTAAAGTATTTATTTCTATATCATATCTTCCTTTAAATGAAAACAAACAATTATAAGCAACCATTTTGGGAATTTGGGTATAGTTTTCTCAAAACTGCTTCCTGCTGTTTGTTGGGAGAAATATTTTTGGGGTACATGGAGACCTTTTAGGGGGTCTTGTTCCATCAGGCCACATTAGCCTGGAAACAAAATCAGAACCTCTTTTCTAAAGCAAAATATCCTTAGATTCAAATTTTGAAATCAACATACCTTTAGAGTGTATATATTAGTTTAACTTAGCAATCTTTCCCAAGATTATGTATATTTTTAAACACACTATGACTCATTCAGGGGCTTATTTCTATCTGAATCTGTCTTTATTGTGTATCTGTAATCATTTTCTGGCCTGGGATACCTTCTTTTTAAATGCTAAGTGGGTGTGGCGGGACCAACTCCACAGCCTTGCCTCTTGGCTCCATCCCATCCAACATGGTGGAGTTATGTTCACTCAATCTGTGAGCTGTGCTCACCACTCCAGCTCCAGAGATCAAAAGAGGCAAAGCCATTTGTGCTACCAGCATGAACCAGGAAGCTCTTAAAGAAGCTGTGCCCCCACTTGCTGCCAGCAAACAGAGCCTATCTGAAAAAAAAATGCAGCTACCAAGAAATTGCACTTGCCTCCCATTTTTGTGAGTCTAGAAACCCCCTTTTTATGATTTTTGAGGCTTTATGTGGATGTGCTTTGCCAAACATTTGGATGGCTGGGAAACAAAGTGCAGTCTCCAAGTACCACTTCAGAGAAGATGGATGAGCATCAAAGAAACTCCATATGGTGCTTACTTTCTTTGTGACAAAAGTTAACCCCTGGTTAAGAAACTGCCCTTGCCTCAACTGCTGACAGTATGCTGTCCAAATTGAACAAGCAGGACACAAAAGAAAGTGCCTGCTGAACTTTGCCAAGACAAGGTAGGATAGATCTTCAGAATATGCTGCTCCACAGAAAAGTCTGTCAGATATTCTAGACCTGTAGGCTGAAGATGGATGCCCCTTGTTACAGAAGAACCTGGGTAACTGTCCAGGCAGCCAGATGTTTTTGTCATTTCTTGCATTATTTGGAAATCACTTCCTTGTATTTTCTGATTTTTAGGTAATATTATTTCCTTCTCGAGTCTCTGATGGAATTGAAAACTAGATAGTTACAACTATAGTTTTTCTTGCCAGTTACGATTATAGCACCCGGAGTTCAAAGCTGTGAATCTCTCAGCAGCGTGCATAGAACCTTAGAGCACTATTGTTGGACTCAGGAGTCCAAGCTCCAGGGAGGAGCTGCTCCAGACACCACTCACACAACCACAATTGATGCAAAAGCAAGAGGATTTTTATTCTTTTATGACAGGGCCCTTCAGATTCGGGACATGAAGGACATCCGGTAGCTGTTATGGCCCATCTTTTAAAGAAAAAAGCCACAGACACAAGGGGGAGAACCGAGGGTTATTTTTCAACTAATTGGATTGGCTTGTTCAAAGGGTTACTAGCAGTGATTGGTCTGTGCCGGGGCAGGAGAATAGCTGCATGATCGGGTGAGGTAAGGGGGAGCATCTGTGGGCCACTGACCTTGTTCCAGTGACTGAATCAATACATCTGTGCCAACATCTGTGGGTTGTCTTTGCCTCGATTCCCAGAATGGAGCTATGTTTGAAGATTATTCACAAGGACACAGGAGGATGAGCAGTTCAGCGTGTGTGTAGGGGAGACTATCACATTCCCAAGAGAGTGTAATGCTAAGAGGCTTTAGAAAATGTCGTAGGGCTGAGAGGCCTCACAAATGCATTTAGAGTCTTTCACTATGAAAGCTGAAGTAAGGAGAAAGCTTTAGGTGAGTACCAGCTCGATTTCTCCGTGCCTCACAGACGTGTGTCTTCAGCAACAAAATCTTAACATCGAGTTCTGAAGAGGAATCAAGAGCAGCAATAGCTTGTATTTTGGGGGAGGGTCTATTGAACCCCACTGACCAGCGGTTTGAAAAAAGGTAGCTCATATTGGGCACTGATGGCCTCTGCTGTGTGGGAGAGACACTGTCCCTCAGTATAGGTTAACTTTGTTTAAATTCCTTTTATAAGAGTATATATTTTATAAACTTCTATGGCATTACGTTTCTCTAAGGCATTTTTAAAGCTTTGTTGTTGTTAGTTATCCTTCCTTGCGCTACCACTGCTGTCTGAGACAACAGTGCAAGTGTTTAAGCTTTCCAGAGTTGCTAGGTAACGACTGTTACATCAACTTGCTGTATCTGTGGTTTACAGCACACACCCCAGATTTCCCTGTCGGAGATATGGTGGTGAGAGCTGGTCACATTCAAAGTTTAACACCGAGTTCAGGAGGAAGTGAAAAACAGTGAGGGTAGGGAAGTTGTGATGTCTTTATTCTCCAGGGTAAAGAAGATCTTCATCTCTGAGAAAAAGCCCCAAACGCCCTTGGGCTTCTGTGATGGGCCTGGGAAGAGGAGTGAGTGGAGGAATTGCCTAACATGTAGGTGTGCAACTCCAGACAAATATGATCACCTCATGTATGATCCTGATAATGTATTCCATGCTGCAGTGTGCTCCGGGAAAGTTAGCAGAGTACAGAGTCTCTTAAGTCAGGAAAAATGGAATGTCAACGACAGAGATAATAACAACAGGTAAGCGAGGGCTGTGAGCGAGGGCGAGGGGCAGGAAAAATGCAGTGTGAACGACAGGGAAGCGAGGGCTTGGGAATGCGGGGCTGTGGGGAGACCGGGTGATATGGCAGAAGCCCCGATTTTCTGGCTTCACCTAAGACAATGAATGGGAGGGCCTGATCGTGTCTTGTGACCCTTGCAGTCTCCTCAGCCTGGCGACCTACACATTTGGCAGGGTCCCAGTGCCAGGCTGTCTCCAGAGCAGTCTCGCAAGTCCAGTGCTCTAGCTGGTTTCTCATTCTGTTTAAATCGCCTATATGCCACCTACTTGAAAGTGTTAAATAGCACGTGGAACAGCATTTTACTTTAATGTATACATTGTAGAAAGCTTCATGAGAGGAATATTCTTCATAATATATCTACTGCATACTTAAAACTTATTCGAATCAAATTCAAATAGGGAAATGGGCTTTCAATCCAATCGGAAAGCAGTTGTCTTGTTTATATCAGCCTAAGTCCGTTCACACGTTCCTTACTGAGGAACATTTGATGAAACTTTGAAAGGGGAATGTGCTGGGTCTTCCTCTTTTGCCTTTTGTCATTTTTGACTGGTATAGTAAGGCTATCATCTACACGTCGGGAGGGTTTTGTATTTCTCGTGTGTGCCTCTGCTCCTTCCTTCACGGCGTTCTGAACAGCTATCCACTACCGACTGTTTTCACAGTAGGCTTTGTCATCAGGCCTGGGTCATTTGCAAGTTACTTTTGATATCTCCTCCAATTTCTCATAGAAGAGCTTCATAATTTCCAAAGCAATAAACTCTTCTTTTTAAAAAATATTTATTTATTTATTTATTTATTTATTTATTTATTTATTTATTTATTGTGTATACAATATTCTGTCTGTGTGTATGCCTGCAGACCAGAAGAGGGCACCAGATCTCATTACAGATGGTTGTGAGCCACCATGTGGTTGCTGGGAATTGAACTCAGGACCTTTGGAAGAGCAGGCTCTTAACCACTGAGCCATCTCTCCAGTCCCGCAATAAACTCTTCTTGCTTGCCAAATTTTATTATAAATTGTGGTAGATCAGAGTCTCCTAAATTCCCCTGTGAAAAATTGTTGATTCTCATGGGTTTGTTACCATTTTTTCACCCATTTATGCTTTTCTGTGAATTTTTACACCAGACACAAACTAAAGTTATCTGAAAGGAGGGAATCTCAGCTTAGAAAATGTTTCCATAATATTGAGCTGTAGGCAACTCTGCAGTAGTGATTGATGGGGAAGAACCCAGCCCATTGGGGGTGATGCCATTTCTGGGCGGTGGTCCTGGGTTCTATAAGAAAGCAGGTTGAGAAAGCCAGTAAGCAGCACCCCTCCATGGCCTCTGCATCAGCTTCTGCCTCCAGGTTCCTGCCCTTCTGACTTCCGTCAGTGATGGACTGTTACCTGGACGTGTAAGCTGAAATCAACCCTTTCCTCCCCAAGCTGCGCTGGCCATGGTGCTCATCACAGCAATAGTAACTCTGACCAGGATAGCCATTATGTACAAAGTTTGGTCCTCTGGGTCCTGTACTTAAACTGTCTGGGCGATAGCATAAGCAAAATGGTTGTTAACAAAACAGAGGAATCGCATGTAATCTGACATTTGCAATTATGTGTGCGTCATGTATGAAGAAATAGTGTTATTTAATGAGAAACACCCCTCATTTCCACAGAACTGCTCTACATTTTGCATCCTGTTATGGATATGAAGAAATAGTAAATATTTTAGTGGAAAACAATTGTGAAATTAATGCGACTGACAACCAGAAGATAACCCCATTGGTAAAGGTAGTTCAGATTTCTGAATTTCAGTAGCGATGGATTTAATGGAAATGTTTAGAAGGAAAATGGCTGGCAATGTGGCAAAAATTGAAATATAACTAACTGGGGCCCGGAGATGATTCAGGGTTTAAAAGCAATGGTTGCTCTTCCCAGTGTTTGATTTCCAATATCTACCTGATGGCTCACAACTGTATATAAATCCAGTCTCAGGACATCTGATGCTCCCTTCTGGCCTCTGAGGGCGCTCACACAGTGGTGTACAGGCATACACATGGGCAAAATACCCATACCCATATACATACACATAAAATAATTAAAAATGCATAGCGAGTTGGTGAAAACTGTGGGATATTTACACTACCTTCTTAGAACTGACACTGTGTTTTGGATATAATACTAACAGGCAGTACAAATGTGTGAAGAAGCCATCGTATCTTTACTCCTTGAAAATGACGCTGACCCAAATATAAAGGACGCAAATGGCAACACAGCTCTGCACTACGCAGTTTACGTGGGCAAACCACCGATTGCTGCCCTTCTTCTTTCTTATGGAGCCAACATCGAGGAAAAGACAAAGGTAAAGCTCACATAACTTGAATGTCAAAATATTTCAAAAATTCATCCTTGAAAAGTGACATATAGCTAGGCAGATGGTGCATACTCAGCATTTTCGAGGCAGAGGGAAGATGTCTGAGCTCACGGCCAGCCTAGTCTCTATTGCAAGTTCCAGGCCAGTTGGGGCAACACAGGAATCTGCAGTTCTTGTCTTTTACTCATTACTCTTTTTACTCTTAGCTTTTTTGAGGGGGGGGCACCAAATAAATCACACACAGAGGCTTATTCTTGGTTATGAATGCCCAGTATTAGCTTGGCTTGTTTCTAGCCAGTTTTCTCAACTTAAATTATCCTGTTTACCTGTTGCCTCTGGGCTTCTGGCTTTCTGGCTTTCTCTTTTTCTGTATACCTTAACTTTCACTCTTAGTCTGTGGTTGGCTGGGTGACTGGCTCCTAGTGTCCCCCTCTCCTTGTTCTTTTGCTCCCCTTTCTTCTTCATTTCTTCTTCTCTTTATACCCTCTGCCTGGCAGCCCCACCTGTCCTTTCTCCTGCCTCACTATTGGCCATTCAGCTCTTTAATAGACCACCAGCTTTTTCAGACAGGCAAAGAATCACAGCTTCACAGAGTTAAAGAAATGCAGCATAAACAAAAGCAACATTTACATTGTTTTTTAGATTGTTAAACAAATGTTCTAGACTATAAACAAGGGTAACACACCTTAAAATAACATTCTATAACAGAGACCCTTTCTTGGAAAAAGGGGCAAATGATAGAAGTCTATTTTCCATGTTTACTCAGTCTTTCCCTGACTGAAACATTTGAAATGCCTTAGTATTCATTTAAATACTGATGTTTTGCTGAAGGGTGGAGCTTTGTGTCCGATTTCCTTCTCAGTGTGGGCACCTATGCAGGCCCCGAGCATGCACCCACAGTATCTGAGTTCATACGAGCATTGGTCCTGTTGTGCCTAGAAACCCTTGTTTCCTTGGTGCCCCCCAACCTCTCTGGCTCTCACGTGCTTTCAGCTTCCTCTTCCACAGAGATCCCTGAGCCTGAGTGGAGGAATTTGGTGAAGACATCCCATTTAGGACTGAGTATTCCAAGGTCTCTTATTCTGCACTTTGTCCAGTTTGTGGGCCTCTGTATTTCTTCTCATCTACTGCAGGAGAAAGCTTCTCCAATGATAACTGAGCAAGGCACTGATCTATAACAGCAAGTCATTAGTATCATTTTATTGCTACATTCCTTTAGCACAATAGTAATATTTAGTTTTCCTAGGTTCATGACCTATCAAGTCTCAGGTTCTTAGCCACCCAAACAATATCGGGCATGGATTCCATTGCAAGGAGTGGGCTTGAAATCCAATCAGTTATTGGTTGGTTCCTCCCAAAACTTGTGAGCCACTTTTGCACCAGCATATCTTGCAGGCAGGTCACTATTGTTGATCAAAGGCTAGAAGCTATCTCCAGTTGATAATAAATCACAAAGGAAAATTAGTTTTCTCCAACAGAGTCTCCTTAGGTATACAAACAACACTAAGTGCAGGTCCCATGTCCAGTAGTAGACAACTTACACAAAATTAGCTCAATGGTATTTTTGGAGGTTTTTCCATCTCACTATGCTTTGTTTTGACAGTTTTTGGTACCTACATGTCTTCTGCTTATGTATTATGGTTTCTGATTTTGTTTCTTTATGGTTTTCATGTGTGCACAAATGGATGTGTCTCTGCATCTATACATATGTCTCTGGTGCTTTTTCTTGGGATCTTTTCCCCCTCCATTCTTTGTTTTGTTCTACTTAGGTCTGTTGGTTTTTATTTTACCTTATCTTATTATTAGTTCCTTTGTTTTAGATGAGAGCAAGAAAGTGTGTGGATTTGGGTGGGTGTAGAAATAGTGAGGAACTATGAGGAGTTGGGAGTGGAAAAACTTTAGTCAGAATATATTGTATAAAAATCTATTTTTGATAATAAACAAACATTGGTATTTTGAAAGAAGTGCTAAGGGTTACAGTTTTCTTTTTAAACTCATTACAAATATTTGTGAAAATTCTGGATGATTAGGGTAGCTGAGGTAACATACCTCTCTCTTTCTTCTACTGACTAGAATAAGATAGCACAGGGGTGCAAACTATCCTGGAAATAAATCAACTGAAACAAAATATTTTGTTACATTTTAGCTTACTTTTTTATTTTTGAAATTAAATTACATTTACAATATTTCTCCCTTCTCTTTCCTCTGTCCAAGCCTTCCCATATATATTTTCTTACTCTCTTTCAAATTCATGGCCTCTTTTTCTCACTAATTGTTATTGTGTGCATATAAATGTACATATATTCCTAAATACAACCTGCTTGGTCTAGATAATGTTACTTTGTATGCATATTTTCAGGCTGACCATTTGGTATTGATAACCAATTGGTGTTCTCTCCTCTAGAGAAGACCAGCAGTTCTTTGTGTAGGGTGGAGTCCTTATGGATATTTCCCGGTTCACTTTGGCATGTCCATGGATGTTTCCTTGTTGAACTTATGTTTGGGTGGTCATGTTGGTCAGATTTGTTGATGTAACTTCTGACATGATTAAGAGACACTATTTCACAGCAAACTCCCTGATCCTCTGTCTCAATCTGTCCGCCTCTTCTCCCACATTGTTCCCGGAGCCTCAGATGTGTGTTTTGTAGACATATCCCACTGGGACTAAAGTCTGCATTTTGATTGGTTGCGGTTTTCTCTAGTGGTCACTGTCTGTTGCGTTGAGAAGTTTCTTTGATAAGGTGTGAAGCCTGCATTTTATCTGTTATCCAAAGATAAGGACACATATTTAAATATTATAATACTATGCACTTAGAAACAGAGTTCAAAGACCTCAGAACTGACTCGTCTCCTCCCAGTGAACTAACTTTCATGGCACTAGACAACATCATGCAAGTTTAAAAAGGACAGAGGCCACCAACAACCCTATATAGCTATGAAGTCTATGAAACATCATTGACCAGCATGGCACAATAACCCTAAAGGCATAGTCGGCACATATACCTTGGCAGGAACCAACAGCTCTCTAAATGAACTTAAGACCCCCTCAACAAAATGGAAACCATGTCTGGTACTGGACACCTAACTAACTACTCGTTGTTAGTGAAGTCATGAATACTGAAGGAGAATTTATCTCTACACTTGTGACTCCATAATTTTTCCTCCCCAAGAATAGGAAATAATCATATCAATATATGTGGATTAGAAACAATCCCAAAATGATAAACTCTTCTAGGTATTATGTCCCAATTCCATAATTTCTGATTTTGTTTTTGTGTGCAGTTTTCCTTTCCATTTATTTTTTTTCAACCTCACACCTGAGAGAGAAGTGACTAGATTGAACTTCAAGGACATCAGAGTTAAGAATTATGCTGGGTTACGATGGCAGGTTATTAAAGCGCAGTCTGCATTGTATGCCTAGAGTCATTCCTCCTATGCTAGCATCTACATCACTGAAGTACTGTGAAAGAGGAATGAAGTGAAATTAGTCTTTTAAAGTACTGAACAAAACCCACCATTTTTGTCATATGTGTAATACAAAGTCTTGAAGTGGTACATTTAGGGTACAGACAGAAGTCTTGTTCTGGACAAGAACATTTAGTTCCTTTACTTAACAAAATACTGAAAAACCATTGCGACTCTTTGGGCCGGAGCTGTTGAGGTAAAATTACAGCTCTTCCCTGACCTCGAGGTCCTGCTTCAGAGGGGAGCCACTACATGGCTCTCAAATGTGATAACCGCTCTGTGGGAGCAAAGGATCATGGGACCAGCAAATGTCTGGAGTGGGCTTTGGAGAAGACAGGGTTTATGCAGCTACTGTGGGTGAGGGGGACGGACTTCAAGGAAGGGGAGTGTGGTGAAGTGAGAGGGAACAGAGCACTGTGAATCTACTCCCGCTAGCATGTGTATGTTATAGAGCCAGCTGGGGGGATCTGCTCCGGCTAGCATGTGTATGTTTACAGAGCCAGGAGAGGGGATCTGCTACTGCTAGCATGTGTATGTTTATAGAGCCAGCTGGAGGGGATCTGCTCCGGCTAGCATGTGTATGTTTGTAGAGCCAGCTGGAGGGTTTCAGTTCAGTTGAGCAGGATTCTGAATCATAAGTTGATTTCCTAACAGGATGGCTTCACTCCTCTACTCCTGGCCCTCAGAGAAAACCAGCTACTAGTGGCAGAATTCTTAATAGTAAGGGGAGCAAATATACATGTGTCTGATGACCGGCAAAGGTAACTTTTGAGTTTTTTTTAAAACACTTTAGTGGTATACTAGACTGGAAACAGTCACTCAAGTCAAATATTAATTTGATGTGAAGAATAAGGTTAACTTTGGTGATATCCTAAAATATACCCATATAGGCCATCAGTGATAAAATGCTTATTTGAAATGAGTAATACAAACAAGAATAGAAGGTAGGTCCCACATTGCCCTTCAAAACTTGACTGATGTTTCATTTAAAATATTATTTTCTTGCTTATATAATCTTATATCAGCTAAAGAGTTTCATACTAAGTTTTTGTTTGAACTGATGGAATTTTGGCTTTATTATTGAGTTCCATGAAATTCATATTCCCGCACTTATGCAGGAGTCTGAGGATGACTTGACTGTGTCAGCTCTCCTCTTCCCCTGTGTGGCTCTCTGTGATCAAACTCGGGTCATCAGACGTGGCAGTAAGTGCCTTTACCGGTGCACTGAGACATCCTGCTGTCTCCTCCCCATGGTGCTCTTGGGGGTTTATAGTCAGTTTCTCCTCTTCATATGTGCTTGACTTTAAATGCTGTATTAGTGTGAATAGAAGTGAAAAATCAGAGGGTTTTTTTTGGATGTTTCTTTGCTTTAAATTACCTGCTAAAGACAATATTGATACTGTTATACCTAAGTGACTATAATTATTACCAGATACTGGTAGTTTATTTTGTTATTATCCTTATTTTGTTATTTTAATAATTACCTGAAAAGAGCGGAGAAAAAATATCCAGAAGTGGACAATAACAAAATGAGTATGAATACTTGTTGATTTAAATCTTTTCATACTTTAAATAAATGATATGAGCAAGATTCCCGCCAAAGGGACATTAAAGTAGGAATTCTTCTGTATAAGAATCTCAGAGAGACAAGAGGCTTCAGTTTGCTTTCTTCTTTCAGCCTTGGAGTTGATTTTTAAGGTTGAGTGCTTAAGCTTCCAAGGTATTCTCATGTTTGTTAGCAAGTGTCTATTGTGTACAAATAAGCAAGGCACTAAATTGGTAAAATATACCCAGTTATCCGTTTAATCATTTTTATTAGACTACCTAATAATGGCATTATCTCTATTTTTTTCCAGAACGACGTTAATGTATGCTGTCAAATCTGACTCAAAACATATTGTTGATCTTCTGCTTAAGCGTGACATTGATGTATTTTTAAAAGACTCCTTCGGCTGGAATGCAGTGAGATATGCTATTATCGGTAATCGTAAAGTGTAAGTGTTTACATTAAATGCTGGTTACTATGAAATGTAGGCTCAAAAATAATTACAGTGTTGTCTTTTATACTGCACTGGGTTTCATTGCTTAGTTGAAGTAGTTTTTAAATGACAGTGTGTTAGTGTACTTATCTGTGCTGTAGCTAAGGGGAGGATAAATGAGTTACTAGTGTAGGTACAGGAGATCCTATTTCAGGACTTGTCTGTGGCCATGGGGATCCACTAGGGCCTTGCACACCCCGAGCTGAATTCTGAACTCCCGTCTGATATGTAGCGAGATCTTTCTTCTTTGAGATCCCAGCACATTCCATTCTACTCCACATATATGTCACCTTTTATCTTCCTAATTGTCTGTGTGAATCTCAAAATGTCTCCAGTTTGACAGAAAACCTTGTCGAACACTGGAAGCGGTTTTCCACATCCGCTCCTTGAATGCTCAAGAACTTGAGAGATTCCTTAAGCTCAACTAAGTCAAAGTGCATCCTCTCTCCCTTGTGAGAGAGAAAAGGGGAAACTCTAGCCACGCTCTTTTCCATCTGTTCTGCTGTTGTGGTGCTATTACAACAAAGGCTTTAGTTCAATACTGATTAAACCTCGTGTTAGGTTGGCCTACTGGTTTTGATCTCTGACTCTTTATATTCCTGAAGGACTTGAAAGCTAAAATCAGATGTCCACTTTTTATATTAATTTTTAAAATTTTCCTAATGAGTACACTATTTATATAATTTCCGCAGCTTCACCTTCTCCAGCTTCTCCCGAGCTCCTCTCATCCCTCTCAAGTTCATTGCCTTTACTATGATTATTATTGTCACACGTGTGTATGAGGCACCTCCTACGTCCTCTTAGTGCCGCCGTCTTGTGTGTGTTTGGCATTGACCACTTATGACTACAAACCTGTCAGTGTCTTGTCCCTGGAGAAAGCTTATTTTCCCTTCCTCAGTGGCCATTGATTCTCTGAAGCTACTCATCAAGGGTGGGCCACATTCATGTTAGGATGGTCTTGTGTAGGCAATCACATTATCGAGAGTTGGTAGGTATAGCATCCCATATAATTTTTTAATTCAAATAACAGTCTAACCATAAAAAGCTGTGATTCGAGAATCAGGTCCCTAGATTTATCTGCACACACATAATGCCCTCACCGCCTCTTGAGAACCACCTATGCCTCTCATGTCTCATCCCACATGATAAGTGGTAAAGTACCTTTGAGGCTTCTTCCTTCCTGTGGTCAAATATGATGTATGATCACTTTAAATTATCATATGAATTCAAACAATGTTGTAGGAAGATTCCCTTCTTCCTTGACATTGGTTTTAGCCCCACGGGCTTCTTTACACACCCAATCACTGTTTTTGATGTTAGAGATTCTATGTTACCTTTATCAGGGAAGGAGTCTACTTTTAATTGGTCAATAGAGTGAATTTTCCATATTAATGAAAATATTTCAAGCTACCTTAAGAATATTGTATTATTTAGGGATATTCCAATATTGCTTTCCAAGGAAGTCATTAATCAGAAATCTCTAAATTGAAATTAGATTATCCATATTTAAGAGTTGTCTCATTTTGTTGTATCAGTATGTGCATGCATGTATAAAACAGAGTTATGTTTTCCTAGTTAGTTGGAAATAAGAATTAGGATTGAGCATCACTGTGACAAAGACCTACTAGATCATACTTTGATTGACTGGCAGGAATATAGATGAGTCAATCCAAATCTTAAAATTTATTATTTTATTCATTTTGGATTGATTAGTATAAAATAGTAAATCATTGTCTACATAATTTAAAAATGTGTTTAGAAATATAAACTACAGAGGATAGAACAGCAAATAGCTAAACTTAGGGAATCAACATTTTTCTGCTACTTGGAATAAATCAGATATAGACCCAGATGTGAAGTGGCCATTGGATTTTATCTGGGATTCTAAAAACAGTTCATCATGACTAGCAAACTATCCAGTTAGTTTCTCACTGCACATTATATGTTGTTAAATATCACCCTAATATTGTGTGCTAATAGCAAAGTACCTTCTAGAAGCTTTGGTTCTGAGCCTATTCGAGTTTCATTCTGACATGGGGGAAAAGATGTCTTGGCTTAGACTTCCAGATCACAATCCATCATTGGCAGAGTCATGGCGAGTATTCATATAGGAACTTGAAGCACAAACTACTGAAGGATGCTGTCTGCTGGCTCTTTCACAGGCTCATGCTCAGTTTTCTTATGTAGCCCAGGTCTACTAGTAAGATCGTTCTGTGATGTACATTGACATAGTTTCTATGTGAGCTGTCAGATATTCTTTTAGTAATCATTTTCCTTTACATTTATAAGCTTGATATTAGCTTATATTCTAGAGCTTATAAATTTGAAGTATATATTGCTAAATTTGGATAATAACTCTGATATTGTATGATATATGCTAAAATTTTTTATATTTTATAAATGTTTTTCTATAAACATTAAAATAATTTTATGCATTACCTTATTTGCACATGGCAGTGCCCGTGCTATTTTAGACTGTCAAGATTCAATAATTAGACATATCCGAAGGTCCAATCAAGGTAAGATTTCTGATAATAAATTACTGTTAGCAGTCCTACCTTATATAATAAAAGTTATAGTAAGAAAACTTTGGTTTGGTAGCCTATGGTGTTTGGTAAGGTCTTTGTTGCCCTATTACAGGTTAACTATTTAAATCCTTTTATATTTGTATCTTTTATATATATTGTACATATATAATCCATATATATATATATTTTAGGAGGTTTGTGCAGTAGTAGGTTTTCTTATGATTTTTTTTAAAATGAAAAAGCCTAGTGCCAGGAATGGGTTAGCTTTTTTTGTAATTTTTGACCAGTGAGGACCCTTAGATCCTCAAACATTATTGGCTATTGCCAGTGTTCTTGATTCTTCCCTAGAATTTGACAAAACTATAATCCTGAAGACATTACATCTTGAGTCATAGAACTTAGAGAAATCAAGCTATTACTGGCCTGAAAGCTTCATCCACACTGCCTAACTTTCAGCGATTGAAGGTGCTATGCATGATATCAAAGAAGAAAAGCAATCACCAATCTTATACAATTGTGAACCCTGCCAACTACAGCAGTGACTAGCCTGGCAAGACATGCCCACTGATTCAATGGTGGCAAAATGTCATAGAAGTAACCAACCACCTTTTCATTGAATTTAAGTCCACAAGTTAAAGCCAATATCTGGCACCCATCAGGATAAAGAACCTGTGGGTAGACAGATCATAGGCCCCGGGGGAAAAATCTACTACATCATTCTACTAAAATGGTCACAATGTTAAACCAACTCCTAATGACTATATCCGAAGATAAGTGTAAAAGTTTCTTTTTGTAGTAGACATGATTAATATAGATACCTATAATTGATCAATGAGAAAAACAAGAGAGGGCAGAATGTTCAGCTCTGAACAGGACATTTCTACCAAACTCCCTCCTCCCAGGAATTAGGGATCATTGTGGAAGGGGTGACAGAAGGTTTGTATAAGAGTCAGAGGCAGCAGATGATTATAAGGCAAGAGTGTTTTCTGGACACAGCAGGAAATTACCCATACGAACTCTCATTGGGGAAAATAACCACCCGCAAGACCTGTGCAAATTCAAGTGAGACAGCACTCAATGGAGGATGACAGTCTCCAGGGACCACGCTTTTCTAGAATGTCTCCATGTCTGTCACAAGATCCTCTGCACTAGGTAACACTAGGTTGTGAAGAGGAAACTGGGTGAACCATCCGTCACTGTAGGGTGACATGGAGTGAATATGAAACTGGTCCATACACAGCTGATTTATCTTCTTATATTATTATATTATCGTCTATTGTACTGAGAGCTTCTCACACACCAAGAAAGTACTCAACTGTCTTCATGTTTTGTGCGTGTGTGAATCATGTGTGGAGGGGTACTCAACCGTGTGTGCATACACAGAAGCTGGAGGCCGTCTTGGCATATCTTTTCTCATTGTTCTCAACTTTATTCATGTTTTTTTGGGACAACATCTTTCACTAACCCAGAGATCACTCTTTTGGCTAGACTATCTAGTCTGTTAGGCACCAGGATCTGCACGCTTCTGCTGCCTCTGGCACTTACGTAACATGTACACTGCTGTTTCTTCTCTTTTGTAGCCACTGGGATTCAAATTCAGGCCCTCACACATTCACAGGAAACACTCAACCCACACACAAAAAATCTTCCCATCCCCAAGTCTGTATTTAACCTAATTCTTGTGGAGAACAAACGTTAAATCACTGAGGCCTGGCTTTTTAAAATGGCATAATTCTTTATTGATTCTTTGGGAGTTTCACATCATGCACCCCAATCCCACTCACCTCTCACTCTCTCCATGTCTGCTCCTCACTCTTGTGGCATCCCCTCCAATTTAATTAAAAACAAAACACACAAAAAACCACCTCACTCCTCCAACTTTTCCACCTCTCCGACGCCTCTTTCTTTGTTTTAGTGGCACTGGAAGCTGCAGTGTGTCACACAGTGCACCCTTCAGTCCACTCAGCCCCACCCACAAATGTCCATCACAATGAGTCACTGGTCTGGTTCCAGGCCTCTGGCGCACCATTATCACTGGACCCTCACTGAAATTCCTCTCAGATATCCTGCCCTGAGTCACGGAGGTCCTGTGGCTAGTGCTCCACAGGACCAGTCCCTCAGGCACTCCAGCAGGCCATAGTTGGGGTAGCTGTCATGAAGGCCAACCCAAGGCCCAGGATGTGGGCTTAGGTGGTAGCTGAACTGATCAGTCTGGGCCACTGGGACCACCTTCCTCAGGCAAGGGGCAGAGCCAGTGCTCTTAGGCCTATGCCACTCAGGAGAGCTCTTCCATGCCTGGGGTGAGGGGTGGGACCATCTCTCTGAAGTGCGTGTGTTGGAGTGCAGCTCTCCCATGAGTCAGTGAAGGGTGGGCTGGCTCAGCACTGCCCTTGGATTTTAATGCTCATGGTTCTTATGACCCTCCCTGTGGTAACATGGGCCATGGACATCAGCACAGACCCCAGCTGCAGCAGGACTGGGCACCCAGACATGGCCCTCAGCAGCAACTTGGGAGGTCTTACTTTCTAAGAGCTGATTCTTTTCCTTCCATAACAATGTCAATAGGTTTAGACATGTATCATTTTTCTTTTTGCATGTTTTATATAAGTTAAAAGTATTTTTGTTCCCACTAGGGAAAACTTTGTTCTATCTCAAATGAATATATCATTATATATATATTATATATACATTTATATAAAATAAAATAAACACACACACACACACACACATATATGGGTTTTTTGAGACAGGGCTTCTCTGTAGCTTTGGAGCCTGTTCTGGAACTAGCTCTTGTAGACCAGGCTGGCCTGGAATTCACAGAGATCCACCTGCCTCTGCCTCCCGAGTGCTGGGATTAAAGGTGTGCGCCACCCCACATCAACTCCCTAGCACTTGTGTTTTAAGCTTCCCTCTGAAGTACAGTGCCCATAGAGTTTTCCGGGATAGAGCTTTGACTGAAAATCTGGTGGGGGCTGGAGAGATGGCTCAGCAGTTAAGAGCATTGCCTGCTCTTTCAAAGGTCCTGAGTTCAATTCCCGGCAACCACATGGTGGCTCACAACCATTTGTAATGAGGTCTGGTGCCCTCTTCTGGTCTGCAGACAGAATACTGTATACATAATAAGGAAGTAAATAAATATATAAAAAAAATCTGGTTATGATGTAAGTTACAGTTTACTTTGAGGGCTTAGCTACTGATAAATTTCACTTCCCCACATTTGTTTAACAAGTAGAAAATAATAATAAGCATTCTTATTGCATTGATTGCTGCTCAGTAATATAATTAATATTCATAGTAAAATGTTTTATGTCACATTTTAAAACACTTTTAGTTTAATATTTTTACTTTTTTCTTTAATAGTATATGCTTCTGAAGACTTCTCTTTGTACAGGTAGGATGAATAGAGTATCTAAAAAGTAAACCAGTTAGCTGCCTATGAAATGCATAGAAACCCTATTTGTAGACAGTTTATTCTATACTAGATCTCATCACAATGGTTTCCCAAAGCACTGGTGAGATTACAGCAGTCTTTCTAATTATGGCCACCATCCAAAGCTTGAATAATTGGTTCATTCATAGTTTGGATAATTGGTTCCATGATTAAGAAGCTGACCCATGATTTAAAAGTTAACTTTCCTGGCTCCCCAAGCATTATCTTGTTCCTTTGCATAAATTAATAGGGTCCTAGGTACTACTGTGGTCAAGATAAGTTCCACAAATGATCAATTCAGAAAGTCAGCTACAGGTATATATGATTTCTGCTTTCAAGGTTACTAAGAAACCCAATCGTAGTACAACAGCTTGTCTTAAAGTTTTTGATAATTGAATTGCTCCTCAATAGATAGTTGTACCACCCAGTTCTGCGTCACTCTCTTGGTACGGGTCGTGTGCCTCTGTACCAATCATGAGTTTGGGCAAAGGCCTGGAGATTGAACAAAAGACACAACACAGGAGACCAGGGTCATTCGACAAGAGATTACCGAATGCCACTTTATTCAGTTTAATGCCAAGCTAATATACCTTGGCCCCAGTAAAAGAATTCCCTCCCAGCCAAAGGGGAAACTGGCACCGTAGGGATTCCTCCCCAGGCAGGGTCGGAGAAGAGACCTTGGCGCCATGTAATTCTCCCAGGCAGGTGGGAAATTACCATACCAAAGATGGAACGTGCCCTGCAGCTAAATCACCAGGCTACAGCAGAGTGAGCACAAGAATTAGCAGGAAGCTTTAGCTGGCTGACCAGAACTGTCCTCAGAGACACACCCCAGGGAGTAAGGGGAGACAGGGCCCAACAGATAGTACCTATCATCATGGTTTTAGGGCAAACATCATTCCAGTATGACAATATCCTTAGTCTCACATAGGCAAGACGTGATTTGTTTTACTAGAATTACGCACAGGTGCATGTAGCCATGTTGGATTTATCATGTTCACTCTCTGTTTGGAGGGCATTAAGACCTTGTCTTTCCACGTGTGTATTGTCAGTTTGGTGTCCTCTTAGAGTCAGTAGCTGTGTCTAGTGTCCGGTTACAGATGCTTCCCTGTTGTCTCTGCCTTTTTCCTCTGACTTGTCAGTCTTTGCTGTGATTTTACTTTCCTTTCTGTTTGCATTGTATTTTTCAATTTGTCTTAGTCGTGTATTCATTTTAGCTGTTAGAGAGACAAAAGCAGAGGGATTGGGTTTTTTAAAAGGACTTTTGGCAACTAAGATATAAAATATTAACATGGTTAACATGTTTAACATGGTTGTTCTTGTGGAGAACCTGAAGCTCAAAGGTAATAAACTGTGTCTTAGGGATGTAGTCAGGGCCAAATAGGATTTGAAGTTATTTTCATTAAATATAAGGCTCTCTTCCTTATCCATCAGTCTATAGGTAGACATCTTAATAACAGAAAAGGGAGTGAATCTGGCGATTGTAGGAGGAGAAGAATGAAATTACAAGTGAGCCCAGGGTAAAGATGAGCACAGAAATAACAGGAGAAGGATAGTTTGTAAAGGAGCAACAGAAGGATAAATGGGAGCAAGGTTTTAAAAGATCAAACTATTGAGATGTGTTGCAATTTCATCAAAATAATATAGAAAGAAAAGCCACAGGGCAATTAAAATTATATTAAATATATACAATAGTATAGTATATTTAAATATGCATTAAAATAGGGCTCAAAGACATCTTAAAAATGTATTTAATTTTGTGTTGAATTGTAAAAACAGACAAAGTCTCCTACTGAGAAATCTGAAGATAAACTGAGCCACTGGGAAGAGTGTCTAGAGCAGACAGGAAGATGACAATATGTCAGCACAATTTCTAAAGCCCCTCCAGTACTCAGAACTGGAAATTGCCAAATGAAATATATTTATGGCCCAGGACAAGAACTCCCCTCCTTTTTCCTTCCTTCTTTCCCAAGTAACTTTTGTCCTTGTGAGATAGGATTGGCTGGCAAAGAAGTCACAGGATGTCCGCGAGGAAGTAGTCAGTGGCCCTAACTTAGCCTCTGCTGTTGACTCTTCATTTACTTTGTTTGCTGAAGCAGGGAAACAGCTGCTGCTCTTGGTTGTTTGAATCTGTGATTCTTTTAAGAATCTTCACCTCCCTCAAATGTGTGTGTGTATGTGTGTGTGTGTGTGTGTGTGTGTGTATGAATATATACATATGGAGACCACAGGACAACTTCAAACAGCTTCCTCCATTGCTCTCCTCCTTAATTTTGAGACACAGTTGCTCACTGAGTATCAAGATTGTAATTTTGCCTAGACTGGCTGGCTTGAGGGTTTGGGAGCTACACATCTCCAAACAAGTATCCCTACTTCCGGTACTGCAAGCACATCCTGTATGCGTAGATTTTACTTCTGGGACTGTAAGCACATCTCAGTACACCTGGATTTCACATGTGCTCAGAGAATCTGATCTCAAGTCCTTGTTCCTGTGCAGCAAGCGTTTTATTCCCCGAGTCACCTTCCCAGATCCAGGACAGGCGAATACTAACATGGAATACTCTCAGGGTCTTCTGAGTGCTGTCTAATAGATACTGTTTGTTAAGAAAGTATGTGTGAGTCTTCATTGACTATCTCATTGATTGACAGAAGAGGCAAAATGAGGTAGCTAGGTGGTCCTTTAAAACTCTTAGACATGCATAGAAACTAATATTTATCATTCACACAGCTAAACTTTTTACCACATTTTAGAATGACGTCACTCACCAATTTTGTTGTGCACTTTGCTTTACAGAACTCTTACGGAATCTTCTTCAGGAATTACCTTGTTTACACCACTTAGGGATAAGTTTAGTGCCCACATCAAGGTAAACTGACCTTTGTGAAGTAGTTACTGTACTCAGACTTGTTTCCTATGGTGTTTACATTTAAAATTTAGCAGTGGCCTGCCTATCATTTTATTTAAAAAGTTGAGCAGAAAGATTTATAATTTATATATTGCATTTAAATAATTATTTATGTAAGTTACATATAAATGTTATATGAATATAACATAATGTTATTTGAAGTTATCTTTATTGTTGTGAATATCAATGAAAAGTGATTATTTCGAGGCACTATCAATTAAAATGTGGTGAAAATTCATAGTGGTAGAAAAATTATCCTACAGATATTTTTCACACAATATAAGAAATCTTAAATTTGGGCAAGCACTTTTTGCTAATGATGCTTCATAAATCTAAGTTGTATTAATGCAGCAATCACATTTTAATGCTTTAATAAATGCTTAACATATACAATTATTGCATTAGTCAAAGATTAATCACTTGACATCACTGGTAGATTTAGTTTCAAAACTTTATAGCATAGAGCATATAGGTTTCACTGTAGTTTCTTTGTTGAACTTTCTTTCATTTAAGGTCAGAGATTTTAGGAGAGTTTGTATCTGTTCTCTCATTGGTTCTCTTGCCAAAAGTTAATATGCTTTATGGACATTTAGGAATTCAAAATCTACTTCTCAAAATCAGTATTAAAATTTTGTTTCATGAGTTCTATTCATTGTATTAAGCTCTTAATGTAATCTTAACGTAATTGAACATACATGGTTGAGCACATATACAAATAATAACCAGTTCTAAAGTGAAAGATTTATGCCCACTGCTTCTTTGGAGTCTCTTCATGCCCAACATGGCATCCTACAAGGTATTTAATATGATGTGTGTATTTATTAGTCAAAAACAGTGCCTGTAGCTGTTCTGCTTCATGTTTAGTGACGTATCATAGCAATGTTTCTCAGAAAGATTTGAACACATATGTATTTTATAAAGAGTCATCTGAAATTGTGGGACATGCAAATTAGTGTCAGGTGTGCAGAGGTATAAGTAACAGTGTTTACTGCTTAACCAGAGTCTCCTGAGAGGGAACCTCAGCAAGACTTTTTATGCCCTTATCAGAACAGAATACACTGACAACTGCCAGGAAGAAAACAATTCAGGTTACCAGGATTCAATAATATTTGCAAGTTAGATGGGGTACACAAGATGAATGTCTAAGACTAATTGTTCGGTCAGGTTTCTGTGTGTTGCTGACCTCTAGGGAAGAAAGAGACACACGGGTGGTCTGAATGCTTCACAGCTGAGGAAGTGTCTCAGTTCCTCAGAAACTGGTACACAGTGTCCCAGGAGCACAAACTCTAACCTGAAATCCTGACAACACATGCCCCTCAAGGCAGCTGGATCAGGTCAACTCCACGATTCCCAGCACAGAGGTAAAAGGCTTTTCATTTTCCTGATATGTGCCGTAGGCACATCAGCTACTTTCTTTGAACACAGTTCCTCTGACCCTTCATACTGAGCATACAGGTGTTCATGTATATATGTCTGCCTTCATGCACACATCTGATACATTTCATTTTTCACACACAAACATAAACACTTAGAAAATAAGGAACAGTTCATCTTAGTTATGTAATCCCAAGTGTTCTGACCTGGGTGCTGATGGGATGCTTCTCAGGCCCAGTGTTTTGTTGTTGTTGTTGTCTGGTTCTTTGTTTTTGCTTGTTTTCTTGAGACAGGGTTTCTCTGTGAAAAAGTCTTGACTGTCTTGAAACTCACTTTATAGACCAGTCTGTACTCAAACTCACAGAGATCCGCCTGCCTCTGCCGTCTGAGTGCTGGGATTAAAGGCGTGCACCACCACCATCCAGCTCAAGTTCAATGCTTTAAAATTTAATGCTTTATTATTTTTTTTGAATTTCATACATAAATACTGTGGCTACATTTTCATCCAGCTTTCTCTCTCCTACTCCACCCATTTAACCCCCACTGTCTCTCAAATTCATGATCTTTTCTTATTATTGTTGTTTTATAAATACAGTATATATATGTATAAATACAACATGCTGAGTCCATTTAATGTTGCAGTGTATGTATATGGGTTTAGACCAGATCACAAGGGACTGAATAACCTATCGGGGCTTGTCCCTAGAAAAGACTGATTCTCCTCTTTAAGGAGCCATAAATTGCCTATTCTTCATTTCGAGGCCAGACCTCATGTATTTTTTTTCCCAGTCACGTTGACATGCCAAATGTGTTGTCATTGTTCAGATCTTGTTTAAGTAGCAATATTGTTGTGATTTCATGGGTCTTGTTTCCCTGTCATGTATAGAAGACACCATCTTGCAGAAGATGTCCTGGTCCTGTGGTTCTAAGGCTTTCCACTGCATCTTCTACAATGTTTCTTGAACCTTAGATGTAGGGCTTATACTGTGGATTATCAAATGGGGTTCTGCACTACGAGCTCAGTTGTGCATTCTGACCTATTGTGGTTTTCTGTAATTGTCTTCATCTGCTGTTAAAAAAAAGTTTCATTGGTGAATGGTGAGAGTTTCATTTATCTGTGCTTTTAAGTATGTGGAATCCAGTGAGAAATTGTACTGGTGTACAAAAGTGGTAACCTGGTCTGTTCTAGGGTCTATGACCTCACCAGTCATAGGTAGTTGACTAGTTTACACCACTCAGCATTCATCCCTCCCATTGAGAGGGCCTGTCTCAGTTAAGGTCTCTATTGCTGTGCAGAGACACCAATGACTGCAGCAAGTCTTACTGAAGTGGCAGCTTACAGTTTCAGAGTCTGTTGTCTACTCTATTATCACAACAGGAAGCATGGTGGCTGGGAGTACAAGGGCAGGCAGCAGACATGATGCTGGCTGCATCTTGGTCAGAAGGCAACAAGAAGTGGTCTTGGTGTCACACTGAGGGAAGCTTGAGTAAAAGCGACTTAAAAGTCCACCCCACACTTCATCCAACAAGGCCACACCCACTTAAACAAGGCCACACCTCCTAATAGTGCCACTCCCTACAGGGGCCATTTTCTTTCAAATCACCATAGGGCCTTAACACCAATTAGGAGGTTATTTGTTACCCTCAAGATGTAAGGGCTACTATTACATGCTTGTGAATAGCTTGCCATTCTGGTAATTGTTGTTCTTTGGCTTTGTATCTGGGTAGTTCCATTGATTTTTTTTCTTTGCCAGCTTGTGGAGTACCTTCAGATGTTGAGAACTAACTAGTTCCAGGTCAATTTCTCCAAGTCTATTTCTGAAGTGTGTGTTGTCCTCAGAAATAGTACTTTACCCTCAGGTTCTCAGAGGCGGTAAAGGGTAATGTCATTATCTTGCAGGTTTCCTAAGCCTGGTGCTGGAGTGTTTGTTAGATTAGTATATTGCTGTTAGAGAAATACATTGTTACTCCAAGCGGTGTAACCTCAACATACATAGCATATATATTAGTATATGTCATATATATATATTTATTTAAATTTTCTTTTTTATTTTGCATATCTATCCCAGTTTCTCCTTCCTCCCTTTTTCCTACCCCTCCTTCCCCATTCCATCCCTCCATCCACTCCTCAGAGGGAGTAAGGTTTTTCTTGAGGATTCAATGAAGTTGGCATACCAAGTTGAGGCAGGGCTAAGCCTCTTCCCTCTGTTAAAGGCTGATCAAGGTATCCAACCATAGAGAATAGGTTCCCAAAAGCCAGTTCATACACCCTGGATAACTTTTGCTCCCATTGCCAGCCCCCCCCCTGCACCAACAGATCAAGCCAAATAACTGTTACCCACATTCAAAGGGCATAGTTTGGTCCACGCAGGTTCTTCAGCTGTCAGTCCACAGCCCCTGAGCTCCTGTCAGGTCAGCTGTCTCTGTGGTTTTCCCCATCATGAGCTTGACCTCTCTTGTTCACATGATCCCTCCTCCCTCTCTTCAGCTGAACTCCAGGAGCTCAGCCCAGTACTTGACTGTGGATCTCTGAATCTTCTATCAGTTGCTGGATGTAGGTTCTATGATGACAATTAAGACAGTTACTAATATGATTATAGGGGAAGGCCAGTTCAGGCACCCTCTCCACTATTGCTAGGAGTCTTAGCTGGGGTCATCCTTGTGGATTTCTGGGAGTGTCCCTAGTACCAGGTTTCTCCCTAACCCTGTAATGGCTCCCTCAATCAAGATCTCTCTTTCATTACTCTCCTTTTCCATCCCTCCTCCAATTCAGCCATCTTAATCCCTTATCTCCCATCCCCCACCCCTTCCCTTCTACCCCCTCCAGTTACTCAGGAGATTTTGTTGTCAGAGGCTGCTCAGACTCAAAATAATCACACAGAAAGTATATTATCTATCTATCTATCTATCTATCTATCTATCTATCTATCTATCTATCTATCTATCTATCTATCTCTATTTATTTTACTCTTTCACAATGGAGATTTTATTGGTTGAGGAGCAAAGTACACAGACATTTCAATTCTTAAAACACATACCCAGACCCTCTGTGCATATTCCATCTTTATATGGCTTATTTTTCTTACTCTATTACTTTTTCTACAAGTTTACTCTGTCTCTTTAAAGATTTTGTTTTATGTTTTAAAAACCCATTTACTTCTCTATACTCTTTTTCTTCTCTCTCCCAAGTCTACGTACATTTTTTTAAAAACACACTATGACCCATTTGGAGGTCTTTTTCTTTTTTTAATTGATTTTATTGAGCTATACATTTTTCTCTGCTTCCCTTCCTACCTCCCCCCTCTCCTTCAACCCTCTCCCTATGTGTGGTCCTTCCCCTTTCCCAGTTAAAGTCATTCCTTTGTCCTCTTGCACAATACATTTATTCTGCCATTCCATTTTCTAGAGCCACTTCTACACATCCATTGTCTCTTTTTTACTTACGGGTTTCTGAAGTTCCTGCTAGTACATACTCTCGCCTAAAGATTTGGAGCTATGATCTGCAAAGGGACAGGAATGGTTGGCATTTGGCATTGTGAATACGGGTCACTGCAGTACAGCTTTCTCTTTTTCCAGCCATTTGTCTGCAAATTTCACCACTTTCTTTTTCTTTATTTTTATTTTACAGCTGAGTGGAATTGAATTGTGTATATGCACCACAATTCATCATCCCTTTGTCAGCTGAAGGACATCTGGGCTGTTTACGTTTTCTAGCTTTGTGGGTAGAGTGGCAGTGAGCATGGTGGAGCAAATATCTGTGAAGGACCTGTGAAGTCCTTTGGGCATACGCCAAGGTATAAATAGCTTTTAGATAATTCTCGGTGCTGGTTTCCATAGTGGCTGCACGAGTCTGCAAGCCCACCAGCAGTGAATGAGAGATCCTCTCCCTACAATGTTATCAGATTTGTTGTCAGCTGTCTTTAGAGTTTTAAAATAGTTATTTCAAATTTTTTTTGCCATGTGTTTTGATTGAATTCACCCTTCCCCAACCACTTCCAGATCCCCTCTAACTCCTACTCACCAAACTTTGCGTCCTCCTTTTTAATCTGTTAAGTCTAATATATGCTGTCTATGTATTCTTGGATGTGCTGTCTTCCACTGGATCATAGTTGACTTGCCCAGAGGGCAACATTGTTAAATAAAGCTGATTCCCCTCTCTGAGCACTTATCAACACCAGCAGCTCCTTGTAACGGAGGGACTTCATTTTCATCTCCCTTTCCATGTTGGGATTTGGTCTGACTTGAACTTGCATGGAGGGCTTGTCATAATCTCTTGTGTTCATAAGTGCAGCTGCCCTGTTGTGGCGAGAGGACTCCCTTTCCTTATTTATTGGATGCCTGTGGCTCCTACAATCCTTTCCACTCCATTTTAGCAATGAATTCTGAACCTTGGGAAGAACAGTTGTGAAATAGATGGCCCTGAACAAAAGCCTTAGAAAAAAAGGACAAACAACAGTGTCCAAATTAGTTGAGATGAAATAATAAAAATCTGGGCTGAAATTAATGGAATAGAAGAATTACAAAAACCACGAAGAGTCAATAAAACAAAAAGTCGAGTTTTTAAAAAGAGTAACAACATTGACAAACCCCTATCCAAGTCAACCAAAGAGAGAGGGCTGGGAAAGTTCGGAGAGGGATCCTTAAAAAATTAAAGATGAAAAGGGGTATTACAAGAAATGCTGAGGAAATTCAGAGAATCACAAAGAAATACTTTAAGATCTATATTCTGAAAACTGAAAAATTTTAAATAAATTATATACATAACCTACCAAAGCTAAATCAAGATGAATAGTTTAAACAGGCCCATGTCACCAGTGAGGTAGAAGCAGCAATCCCAGCACCCTTTGTAGATAGTACTGAGTGGTCATCTATTTCTGAAATGAGTCATCACACAAAGCTTTTATTTCTCCTTCAGTTTTATGTCCAGTTTTGCTCTGTGTAATAATCCTGGCAGACAGTTGCCTTTCCCAGTTCAGAATACATCTTCCCAGGCTCCCAGGCTTTAAAGTTTTCTGTCAAGTAAACCAATATTATTCTACTAGGTGTGCAGCTACAAGTGATTTAACCCAGCTCTCTGCAGCTTCCTAAAGCCTTTCTCTAGTTTGTGTTTCTGATGCTTTAACTGCAGTGTATCATGAAGGATTTCCTTTCTAGTCTGGTCCGTTTGGTGTTCTTGGTGTTCTGGATGCCTCTTGCACTTGTATGGGGATCTGTTTCTTTAGGGTTAGGAAATTTTACTCAATTATTTTACTGAAGATAATCTCTATGTCTTTGCTATGGCATTCTTCTCTGTAATTTCTAAGTTAGGTCTTTTTCATGGTATTCCAAAACTCTCTCAAGTTCTGCTTATGTTTAACATTTTTTTTCTCATTTACTGGTGATCTGATTCCTCTACTCTGTATTTCTTCCTTGACTCTGTTTTAAACATGATTAATTCTGTTGGCAAGTCTTCCAGTGAGGTTCTATCTTAGCTTGAGTTTTTACTTCCACCATTGTTTCAGCTTGGGTGTTCTTCAAAAATCAAGCTCTTAATTTCATATCTTGGATTAGTTTCTTTATTTCATTCATCTTCATATCTTTGTCTTCTTTGACTTATATGACCGTGACTATACCCATTCTTCTGAATTCTTTGAGAGTTCTTCCAGGCTAGTTTCAAAAGGGGCCATTGCTATGGGATTTGTATTTTTGAGAGGAGATGTTAATTTTTTTTTTTTTTGGTATTGTTTCTATTTCAGGATTAGGATTTTCATATCTGGAGTTAGTTATTTCGTTGAGTTTTTTCAAGCCACCTGTCTTTTATCAGAGATGTTTACAGTGTTCAGGGTAGGGGCTGGCTAATGCATGGCAAGGATGGGGTATCAGTTTTCTCTATCTGGTACCTGCCACTGCAGCTTCTTCCCCAGGTCTACTTGTTGGCAACGGTCTGGTGCTTTCAAGTGACTTGGTCAATGTAACTAGAACAAATTTCAGTGTTGTTTCTGCGTATCAAGGCCTGATAGGACAATGGAGGGGGTCTCAAACAGGCAGCTAAAGGGATCTGGGTGAGTCTCAAAGATATATAGTCATCTGGGTCTCCAGACAGATATGCTGGCTCCAGAGTCCCTTGTGGTGAGTCCTGTGAGGCTGGAAACTAGTGAATGCCAAAGGGAGTGAGAGGGGCAGGGAGAAGGTTGTGGTCTTTGGCAGGAAACTTCTGAGGGTCAAGAATGGATAAAGGGTAAGAGAGAGGCATTTGTAGCTTATCTGTCTCTGAACCGCATGAATGGATGGAAGGTCTCTAGTAAGGAGAGATCTGGGGTCTAGCTAGTCCTAGATGCAGGAGGTCGTGGTCTCTAAAAGACATCAGCTTCAGGGCAGCAGGAAATGATACGGCTGTTAGGAAGAGCCTCTATCTCCATGCTACTCGGGCAGGCTAGAGTTTTTCAGGTAGGAAAGGGTCTGGAATCTGGCAAGTCCCAAAAGAATAGCAGCTAGAAGGAGGTTTAGGTCCCTGGTAGGCAGTCACCTGGCAGTCAGAATGCCTGCCAGAACATCAAGGTGAGACCCTCTTCCCAAGGATACTACAGACTTCAGTTTCAGAATTTTGAGAAATCAAGTTCATACTCACTTGAAACTTCCACGGAGGAAGCTTTTGTAGTGTTGGAAGGTGCTATGCAAGCTGTCAATGGACAAAAGTTATCAACAGTCCTACCCAGCTGTAAAGACTCAGAATCACAATTATGGGACTGCAAAGACATCCCCCAAAATACAATAGTGGCATTGTTATCTTGGGGACAACCAATAGCTGTCTAATTGGACCCAAAGCCTGCTCAGCTGAAAGGAATCCGTGTTTCATAGATGTAAAATTAGCCAAGAATGTATGGGTAGAAAGGTCATAGCCCTAGGGGACTACTAACACCATATTACTATAGTACTATAGTTTTCAACTGACTTGTAAACAGTCACACATACATGTCTTAGATGGTTCCTATTGCTGGGATAAAACACAATGACAAAAAGCAAGTTGGAAAACAATCATACACATACATGTCTTAGATGGTTCCTATCGCTGGGATAAAACGCAGTAACAAAAAGCAACCTGGAAAAGAAAGAGTTTGTTTTATCTACATTTCCAGATAGGAGCTGATGCTTGAGGAAGTCAGGGCAGGAACTCCAGCAGGGAAAGACCCGGGAGGCATGAACTGGAACAAAAGCCCTGCTTAATGATTTGCAGCTGACAGGTTTCTCAGTCTGCTTCCTATTACATCCCAAGACCACTGTCCAGGGTTGGCACCACCAAGCATAAACTGGACCCTTCCAAATCAGTAATCAAAATACTAACCAGACTTGCCTCCAGGACAATGGAGCTGATCACAGCTGATCCTTCCTACCAAATGTCTCTGGTTTGTGTCAAGTCGACAAAAAAGCAACTGTCTTAGTCACTGTCCTATCGCTGAGAAGAGACACCATGTCCAAGCAACTCTTCAAAAGAAAGCATTAAATTGTGGGTTTGCTTGCTGTTTTAGAGCAATCCATGATCATCATGGCTGGAAGCAGACACAGTGCTGGAGCAGTAGTCTAGAACTTTAGAGCTTGATGCTCAGATAGCAGGGAGAGAGAGAGAGAGAGAGAGAGAGAGAGAGAGAGACTCGGCCTGGAATGGGCTTTTGAAACCTCAAAGTCCACCCCTAGTGACACACCTCCTCCAGTAAAGCCACACATACTCCAACAAGACCATACCTTCTAATCCTTCCCAAATAGTTCCACTGACCGAGAACCAAGCATTCAAATAGTGGCCATATCCTCAAGGAACTATTGCTTCCCCGTGCCCTGGCACATATCCATTGTCAGTATCTCCTCGGTGTGTGGCAGAGTCTGGAGATCATCTACCCCATCTGTGCTGAAATTTTGGCTGACTTCATCTTGCATAGGTCTTTTGCAGGTAAACACAGCTGCTGTGAATTCATGATTGCAGCCACGGGATGTCCAGGGATCAACATTTCACAGCATCCCTTCTAATCCTTATTCATAAAACAAAACAGTCACAGATATAAACAGCAAAGTAGAAATTATAAAACGCTGTGTGTGCATGTGTGTGTGTGTGTGTATGTGCATGCACGCGTGTGTTTGTGTGTTGCCTACGTGTGAGTGTGCATACCCATGTACACATGCAAAGACTGGAGAAGCACAGTGGGTGTCCTATTCTATCGCAAGGTCTCTCACTGAACAGAGAGTGAGGCTCATAACTGTCCCTTCTATTTGCCCCTCAGTCTCCAACGAAGTGTTGAGGCCATCTGATTGTGGGTGCCCATGCCTGTAGAGCAAGTATGCCCACCACTGAGACAGCTCCTCAGCTCTGATGAAATACTTTACTGTGACTTGTTTTAACAGGGTATATCTGGGAATACAGCAATGAAGGAAGCACACAGTGAAGCTCCCCCTATACATGAGGCAAGAAAGGAGGAAGGAAACCCTGAAAATGGACCAGAGGAAGGTAGGAAAGAAGTTTTCTAGATGCAGAATGTTGGTGTGAAACAAAGAGTCAAAGAGTTTACGTGCTAACTAGACAGTGAGGTAGAAAGGACAAGTAAAGAGGTGACAAGACCCAAATGACATCCCAGTAAAGCAACAGGTAACAGAGACAGTCGCTGGAGAGCTGGACCATGAATCACATTCAAAAGCACTCTTCTACTTGAGAAATGTGAGGAAGTGAAGGGGAGAGAAGAGAAATGGAGACTGAAAAAGCCAGTGAAGATACACATCTTAGGTCAGGGAGGGAGAACGAGATGTGTATGCAGTCTGGAAAAATAAATCCTTCAGGAAGGAAGAGTTACATCACTAAGGTCTGTGTGAGAAGGAAAACGAACTCTGAGACTCTGATTCCTCTATGCTTAGAGACCTTCATTTTCAAGCAGCTGATCACACAGAGCTATGTTTTATTTACTTCTGATAGATATAAACATATGTAACCAATCATATTTGTATATAAGTTAATATTATGCCACATGTGTGATTCACAAAGTACTATCTATGGTCCAAAAAAAGCGGGGGGCAGAATTAGAAAGAAGAATGATATTGAATTAGATACAGGGAGATAAAGAAAGTCATCAAATTTTTTTTTTAAAAAAGGCAGTAGAGAAGAAATAAGTTCAAACACAGGGTTTCAAATTAGGAGATAAACTGAATTTTGTTTGGAGGCAAAGAACTCTGGGTCCCAACCATTCCCACAGAGAGTATTCTTAGGATAGCTGCTCTCCACCATTCCGTGGCTGGGATAGGCTCATGCTAGGACATAAAGCATTCAAATGGGGCAGGGCTTCTGGTCTCCTCATCCAACCAGGGTTTTCCTAGCTTGCCATGATTCAAAAGGCAGCTCCCACACCTCATCCTAGTCCTCCCTGACACACCCAGGTTTTAATTCTTAAGAGACCTTCTTTGAAGCTTCTGGTACCAACGGTGGTCTTGATGCTCCCACCATTACTCCTGCCTGGTCATCATAGCTTTTGTACTCCTGGCTCCCAGCTGATTGATTTTTCTGCCCATTTTCTAGAGATAGACAGAGTCAATTAACTCTAGAGTGTGCAATGCATCTCTGATGAGACTTTTACTCAATGTGTGTTTCCTTGTGTGTTAATTGAATCTTTATGGTCAGGTTACTGATATGTAAACTCCATCTCAAAGAACCTTGATCCCTTGGCCTAACTGTAAGCCTGATAGTAGTATATTAATATTTACTGTCCTAGAGGTGCTCTGGACAGCAACAGAAGGTGAGATCCCACTAGCTCAGAGGGTAAATAGACTGATCTAAGTTTTGATTATAGTTGCTTGTGACCTGGAGGCCAGGTTCAAGAGTAGGAGCTGAGGGCTATCATACAGAATGCTGGCCAACCCTGGGTCAGAAAATTGTGATGGGGAACCACCAAGACTCCTCAGGACTAATCAGGACTGGTAAATATTACATACAAGATATCCTGACTCATTTCCTCTCTATGAAGGCCTAAATCAGGGCTTATAGAAATGAGGGAAGCATTTGGAAGAAGAAGCTAAGGAAGTCTGCAAATCCAGCTCTCCCTACAGCTCTAAGGGAATTCAAAGCAGGGCCCAATATAACCTAGACAAGAGATTGCTTCTCATGAAGTTACTGAGTGCCATTGGGGATTGAGTAAGGTTGGGGCCATGGTATCAGGAACAGCCTCCACTACAGGAACACTGCCTAGCCACAAAGAGGAATTGGCGTCTATCATTCGTCTTACTCATCTGAGATCCTCCTGGCTTGTACTAAGTTGCAGACTGATCCCAAAGAGGGTCTGCAAGCTTGCTTTTTTATGAGGAGAAACTGAGACAGTCTAAAATATAGCCTTAGAGTCTGAAGTCCACTAGGGAAAATGTGGCCATGAGGCTACACCTGCTTCTACTAGTAGGAGCCAATCAGATTCAGTACTCTGGGAAGGGCCTTGTGGCTGATGCAACAGCTTCTGTATAGGAAGGAACAGACAGAGGCAAGGGTTGCATTGCGGGGTGGGTTGGTCTGACAAGTCAGCATAGCGACTCAGACAGGATGAGCACTATGACGATGTCGTGGAGAAGGCTGGCCTGCTTCTAGGTGCTAAGAGAGGTAGGGAGGACGAGGGAAGGAAATGGGGGACAGGAGTAGATGGAGGAATTTAGAAAATGGATATGAGAAGCAAAGTAGAGTGGGAATGGGGACAGGAGAGGATGCTGAGAGCTGTCCTGGGTTCTCATGAATGATGTATGGATGATGGATCCGAGAAAAGACAGAGGGGCCTCGTTATGAAACCCATCTACAGTAAGTGTAGCACTAGACACAGATAGACTGTGCCAACAGGTAGCCACAGAGAGAAGCCCAGCATGACCAGAGGGAAGAGGACAGAGCTTCATAGAAGAACAGAATTCATGGTCCTGGGAAAGGGGAACTGAGATGAGCTGGAAAGCTGCTGCAGCTGGATGGCAAAGGGAGAGGAGAGAGTAAGAGCAAAGTGACACAACCCTGGAGGCTTCACAGCAAGAGGTCAGGGGAGCTGGTGCTGAAGCTGAGAGCAGGGGAGCTGATGCTGGTGCTGAGGGCAGAGGAGCTGATGCTGATGCTGAAGCTGAGGGCAGAGGAGCTGGTGCTGAAGCTGAGGGCAGGGGAGCTGATGCTGGTGCTGAGGGCAGAGGAACTGATGCTGATGCTGAAGCTGAGGGCAGGGGAGCTGGTGCTGAAGCTGAGGGCAGGGGAGCTGGTGCTGAAGCTCCATGGTCTCTGAGGAAATCTGAAGGATCTCTCCCTTAGGGGTCAATTTGTACAAACTACTAGGCCTGCCTGCCCTAAACCTTTCTTCTCAGAAGAGAAAAGCCAGAGCTACGGTTGACAGAAGCGTTTCTCCCACTTCACCTGTAGGAGAACAATAAGAGAGAGGCTTAGGCTGTGTCCCCTTGTGTCTGATGTTCCAACCCTGCAGTCTCACCAGGCCTACTTCACAATGCATCGGGAACTGTGCTATAGGGAGCTCCACGTGCTTCCTGCTACTGCCCCACAGCAGTGCCAGTGAGACAGTACCAGCCTCTCTGTGGGTTGGCCTGAGGGGCAAGCTGCTCTGAGAAGGTACTCCACCCCATCACTGTCACATGCGGACTGTGCTGCTGTGCACCTCTGCAGGCCCAGGATCCTCCCACTTACAGACCAGGTCCAGTCTCCAGTGCTCCCCAACCAGATCCCCTCCCAGTATCCCTTCAGAGAATGACCCAGATGCCTGCCCAGGTGCTATGTTGAGAGCCAGGGGACCGTTCTGAACCTTCCTTTGGCCCACACCCTGGGCCTCCGGTCCAGCTGTATCTATTACAAGACAGCACAGTAACAGTGATGTGTTACTTACTTGTCAAGTGAGTCTGGGCATTCCACCAACATTCCAGGTTTTTGTGCTTCTTGGCTGTGCTTGCATGGTCTGCCTTACACTGCAGCCACAGTAAGCATCAGGTTCCAGTGATCTCATTGCCCATCCATGGCTCCCAGGCTTGAAATCTCCTTGTAAGATCCTCTTTGGGCCTGATCCACCAGGAATCAGCTGCTTCCCTCTTTCCTAGCAACATCCTGCACCCCAGGATTGCCATGTCTGGGAGTCCTGTCCCCAGACTCTGCAATGTCACCACCAGGCATCCTTCTTTCAGAAAGCTTGCTTGGGTTCCTCTTTGGGGAAAAGAACGGCTCTTTCTCTGAGCTCCAATACTCCTGGCCCCATCCCCATCATACCTAGAGGGCTGGGGTTGTACTCTCATCCATATGCCTGGCCTGAGCCTAGTACCTGTAAGAAGGGGCGGTGAGGGGAGAAACAGCCTTCCTGCAGGTAGGTTGTCTTTGGTAAAGATGCACTTCCAAATTGGAATCAGCAAGGCTGGAATAGGTGTTGCACTCTGCAACCACGGTCACACATTTCTCACCATGAAGAAAAACCTCTGATATATTCAACAGGACTCTAAGCCAGTTGGGGTCGGGGAAGATGACGGCACATTGGCAGAAGGGGAGGGTTGGCCATAATACACTTGGTTATTTTCATATTGACCCACCTAGAAGGTGGAAGGGTGGCTGCTTACCACCTTCTCAGCTGAGTAACTGAAGCCCACAGAAATGCAGATTCTAAAAGCTGCAGAAGTTAGTGAAAGGGTTTCGACATCTCTTCACAGGTATCCACAATAGTAACTGCAGCTCCTCTCTAGTGCATCTTTCTGCAGGTGCGGACCCTTTGGTGAAGACATAAACTTCATGCTAAGTTCCAGCTCAGAGGCTCCTTCATCGCACATGTTTAAGAGATTGCCTCTTTGAATCCATGACTCAAGACAGCTCAGTGTTTAAAAATTCACCTTTTCGGACCTGTGGGTCATGTCACTTCTTGATTACTGAGTTGCCTATCTGTGCTGGTGGGTAAGGTCAGGCCATGCTTAAACAAGTGTTTCTAGGAACGCGTGGGTTAGCTGCACGGAAGGTGAAGAAACCACCTCTCTAAGGTGTGGATGGTTTCAGAGCCTTGTTAAGCACCACCTTCATGGGCCCATGAGTGAGGTCAGCACATACTTAAGAAATGACCTCTCTGGCGCTGTGGGTCTGGTCAGCTAATTTCTAGGAGTGGACTCATTGGGTCTCTGGGCTATATCAAGTAAGTTCACTTTTTATCATATCGCTTATATCACTTTAAGTGCTTAAAGACAAACAGTAATATCACCACACATTGTGTAACCGTAACTCCTGTGTTTAAATTCTGGCTCGGTCACCAACCAGTGATAATGAACTTGTCCTTCCCTATCTATGCCGAACTCCTCCTTTTACAACCTCACAAGATTGTTGTGGCGCATCCACATAGTTTCACACATGTGCTTAGAATAATGTGTATTCATTGTATAGTCGGTCCTGAAAAATATTAATTGCTGTTTAGAGTTTTTTGGGTTTTATTTATTTATTTATTTATATTTTACGTACATTGGTGTTTTGCCATGAGTGGGTATCCTGGAACTAGAATTACAGACAGTTGCTGGGAAGTGAACCCGGGTCCTCTGGAAGAGCAGTCAGTGCTCTTAACCACTGAGCCATCTCCCCAGCCCCTGTTTAGAGTTTTTAAAGGTTTGTCAGATCCAGACTTCAGAACTTATATGTTGGTGTTAGTGCATTTAAAAAATACTTTTTATTGATAATTTTTATCTTTTGTCTCTTATTTATCCACTGACAATTTTAAGCCATGTACATGAATCTCAATTCTGTCTACTCCTAGCTTTCCCCCTTCAGAATTCCTGGACACGTTTCAGCATGCACCTTCCCTCCTAAATGTTTTCATTATTTTGTGACTCACTGAGTCTTAGCGAAGTCCACTAGAATACTGACTGGTCTTGTGCTTTCAAGATTAATCTTAAGAGATGAAATTAATATATGGACTCCAAACCCTACCCAAAGTTTCTTAAGGTGGCAGAGCCTGCTAAATTCACAACAGTTTAAAAAGTTGAATCCCTCTTCTTAACACTGTATCTTTAACTAATCTCCCATTGTTCATTGGTCTATTATTCTCACAAGTCTTCCTTACCTCGAGTGAATGCAATATAAGTATGTAACGGACAAAATATTGTTGATCCCGATAGCATCCTTTGACCAACACTGATGAAGAAAAATTATTCATTATAGAATTGTGACGACCGTTAAGAGCTTCAGTTTCTCTTTTCACAGAATCTCCAGTTCTAGCTCTTATCCTGAAATTTAATAGAAATTCCACTTCTTATATCTCCACCTCAGACATAAACACAGGATTATTGTTCATTCCAGCTTGATCCAGCCTACCAGTCTGCTCAATTTTATAATGAGGTCCATCTCAAGTTCTAAGTGTGAACTATGTGGAGTTTTATGAAGTTTAGCACATGCAGTCTCTTACAAAGTAACATTAGCCACCATTTTTTTCTCAATCCCACCATAAGAAGTGAACCACCTACTTTATCAATACTTATATGTGCACAAGCTCAAATTACTGCTTCTACCAGTAGAATCATAGCCATAATATGATTTACGTATCCACAAGCAAAGTCTGTCTGAACTCATTGATTTAACTGAATGAGCTTCAAATTTTGCTTTAAATTTTTAATGTTGGCCATGTTTGCTGCAGGTTTATTTGCTCTTTATGTCAGAGTACACTAGCATCATTGTAATAAATTGCCTAGCTACTGTTTTTGAGAAGTGTTATATAGCCTTTGCCACAAGTTTTACTGAAATCTGTAGTTAAAACTCTATCACTTACCACTACATTTAGATTACTCTCAGTCCTGATATGATCAAATGATGCAGTATGCAGAAATCCCTTCTCTTGTTTGTATTTATGTATGTGCATATTTCTTTACCTATTATACCTATTTCTACAGAATTTTCAAATAGTTAATTTGATAAAGTAAATAACAGAGATTAAAGCCCTTATATTTAGAATTGTAAGAATTGAACCTGCTTCTTCCAATTCGAAACTCTCCTTGTCATGAGTTACACAATCTGTTATTCTAAGCTAGATGTCAGGTTTATGTCTTGAAGCATTTGTGTATGACCTTCCTGGGTTAATGTATCCACTTATTTATTATTTATCTAACATTGCCTCAGCATCTTGACTACCACACAAATCACACTAGGATGTGAATCTAATAAAGAACTCTACTGCTTATTTGCGAAGAAACTACACAATAATGTCTAAATTGTGCAACTTCATAAAGGAATGTATTTCTTCTCATTTATACTGGGTATTAGCATATTTTAATACCCAAAACTAGGTGTAGCTGTACAGAAGACTTTAATTGCATATCATCCATTCTTCTAATTATGTGGACAGTTTTCCTATTTCAGTTTTTATTTATTTATACAAAACATTACAACCAAGCACTAATTTTGCCAATCAAATATGTTTTTAATTGTAAGTACAATGACAAAGTACAATTTCTCTAATTTTTCTCATCCAGAAAACATTCTTTTGTGTTGAGACTGAATTAACTACAGAAGAGCTCTTGGTTGAGAGACAGGTACAGACTTTTTCATATTTACATTTCAGAACGCTGCTCTGGGGATGCAAGCCCCAGAGATTCGGCTGTGTTTCTTTTAAGATGGCGTATCACCTGCTTACTTACAAAGAGAATCACTTTTGTTTTCCTCAATCAACTAATTGTACAAGTTCTTTCTCTGCCCTACAGAAAAGTAGGCTCAATAGGAATTGAAGCAATGTTTTCCAAATCTGATGAAAACTCTAGACACACATATCTAAAAGTCTCAATATACACAAAGCAAAAATCCATGTGAAACAGCACTTGAACACACACACACACACACACACACACACACACACAATGAAACTGCTGAAATGGAGTAATAGAAAACCAAATAGTAAAATATCCACAGGAAAAAGACGTATTACAAAAAGAGACAAATATAAATGAAAAAGTTCTTTCTTAGATAGGATTTCTATTGCTGCAACGAAACACCATGAAACACTAAAAAGCAAGTAAGTGAGTTAATGTGGCTTACATTTGCATGTAACTTCATCATGAGAGGAAGTGTGGATACGAAGTCGAAAGGGCAGGAACAGGAGCTAACACAGAGATGGCCATGGAGCGGTGCTGCTTGCTGGCTTGCTCCTCGCCTGCTCAGCCTGCTTTCTTACAGAGTCCAGGACCAGAGCCCACGGCTGGTATAGGAAAGATTCTCAAGCTTATAAAGACTTTTTATTACTCCATCAAAGCATTTTCTTATACAAGATATTGAATTTATTTGCAGGTTTTCTTTATTATAAATAATTCTCTTTCTTATTTTTGTCTCCAAACATTGGCAAAATTGAAATGACTTTTACAAAGATAATGAGGAAAAATCAGTGCATCAGTGCTCCCTTTATAGTTCATAGCTTTCCTCCTTGATTTTCTCCCCTTTAGCAGCGTTTGCTGGAAGAGGGAACAGCAATTTTCTCCAAAAGAGTGACCCTGGCTAAAGCACAGGGCAGGCCTCGCATTTAGGATTAGCAGACGTATGACGGACTTGGCAGTGTCTGTGTGCGCATGTGCGCGCTTGCATACGTGCTTTTATTTGGTTACGGTTTTACGACTTTTTTCTCTTTGTATTTTATTTTCATGATGTGGAGGGGGTTGTTGTATTAGGTTTTTGTTTTTCAAGAAAGAAGTCAAAGTTGGTGGCTAGAAAGTGGACTTGAAGCTGGGCGGACTTTAGGGAGGGGAAAATATATTTAAAAAACGATTTTAAACAACACAAAGTAAACTTTAAAAAGGTAAATGATGGTATTTTTCTGAGATCTTGGATGCCTAATGGTTTCTTTGGAAATAAATGTAATGAAAACCAATTGTCGAGATTCTAAACATTTTGTCTTACAACATTTTTTCCTTCAAAGATATTGAGGTTCTCCTTCATTTGGTTATTTAATAACTTTTAGAATAAAAATAAAGACTAATTATAACTACCATAAATTTTTTACATAATTTTTATTGATTCTTTGGGATTTCATATCATGTACCCCAAACCCCTCATTTCCCAATACCTCCATATTTGTTCCTCACTCCCACAGTGTCCCCCAAAAGAAAGTTTAAAAAAAATAATAATTCAAAACAAAACAAACGAAAACCGCACTGCGCTCCTTTCTCACCTCGCCAGCACCCAACCCTTCCGTCATCCCAGCGGCACTGAGAGCTGCGGTGGGGCCCACAGTCCACCGTTTGTCCACTCAGCTTTACTGGCAAACGTTCGTTGCAATCTGTTGGTCTGTTGGAGGCCTCTGACTTCTGGTGCACCATCAATACTGGGCCCTCACCAAAGCTCCTCTCAGACATCCTGCTGTTGCCTCTAGTTATGGAGATCCTGCAGCGATTGCTCCACAGAACCAGTCCCTTCACACAGTTCCACGGGTCCTAGATGGAGTAGGTATCAGGGTGGTCCAACTCAAAACCCTCGATGTGACTCTGGGTGGTAGCTGATTTGGTCAGTCCGGGCTGCTGGGAATGCGCCCCTCAGAGGAGGGACAGTGTCAGCTCTTCTAAGCCCCTACTATCAGGGCAAGAGGTGGAGCCATCTGTCCCATGGGGGGCGGGACCAACTGCTTTGCAAGGGTGGTTCTGGTTCAACATGGCCTTCAGATTCCAATAACCATGGTTCCTATGGCCCCCTGGGGTAACATGGGCCATGGAGAGCAACACAGACCCTAGCTGCAGCAGGATTACAGGCCCGGACATGGCCCCAGGGGCAGCACAGACCACCAGATCAGTATGGCTCTGGCAGTGGCATGGCCATAGGACACCAACATGGTCTCAGGTGACTGATCAGATCCCAGAAATCCACGTGGCCTTTGGTGGCAAGATAGGCCACGGAAGTCAGCACAGACCCTGGCTGCAGTAGGGTCACGGACCCGGATGTGATCCTTGACAGCAGCTTGGGCCCGAAAGTCACTGTGGCCCCAGGCCACTCAGCCCGGCATGGCTCCAGAGGTAGCGTAGCCTCAGGTGGCAGACCAGATCCTGGGTGTCTGTGTGGCCTTTATGGGGAACACAGACCACTGAGGAGAACCAGAGACCCAGACATGGCCCTTGGCAGCAGCCCAGGCCCTGATGTCACCATGGTCCTCGGTAGCAGCACTGGCCTGTTCCTCACTGCCTTTACTTCTTCAGTTCTGCCTCTTTAAACAGCACATGAATCATTTCTCCACCAAATATGGCTGGCGCTCATCATGATGGCTCTTAGGCCTGTGGCTGTTTTCCACCTGACAGCCTATTATAATTGTAGTACTGATTGGTCTTCAATTACATTTGTTATTATACTATTATTCTTAATAATCTTTATCTGTATGTAGCTTTTTCTATTGTTCTTGCTCCCATTTTTCTTCGTGTGTGTGTGTGTGTGTGTGTGTGTGTGTGTGTGTGTGTGTGGTTATTTGTAATATTTGTGCATGTGTGTGTGCACTTGGCAGACAGAGATTGATGCTGTATGTCTTCCACTGTCACTCCCTGACTTATCTCCTGACATAATGTCTTTCACGGAGCCCAAAGCACACCACCTGATTAGATGCAGGGGCTATCCAGGGTGCTGCAGGGGTTGGCCTACCTTCTCTCTCACCCACTTCCCAGCACTGGGGTTACAGAAATGTGCCACCATTACCAGCTTTCCCATGGGTGCTGAGGTCAGGCTTGTGCAGCAGACAGTCACAGTCTCCCGGCTCCCCTGTTGATATTTTTCTGCCTTTGACAGGCTATGCACATCTTTATCTCCATTTCACACCGTGGTTTTGAGGTTTGTATCAACTTACAACACAGTTCTTAGCCTAGAGAAGATTAAACAATCATCTATTCTGGAGCCAATTGTGAGTGAGTGGTGTCCAGCAGCACAGGACTCAGCTTAACCAAAATCCCATGTTACATTGAGAAAGAAGTTCTAAGACTTTAAAAACTAGAACATCAAGTCATAAAGCAACTCACTTGTCAAGTACATCGGTGGAAGCATCTGGTAGGAAAGTCACACAAGTCATAGAAAATCCTGAAAACTGCTATATGCCTCTGATACTGTCTTATGGGATTCTTAGCCTTTTGTTGGGTGGAGATACTGTGCCTCACAACGCATTATGTAATGGTGACACAGATGCTTGTTTACATATAGTGAAGGGCGAAAGTAGCTATTAAGAGGGATAATGAGAGCCTAGCCAAATCTGGCTTACCACTCAGCACTCAAATTCTCCAGGACTTGTTCAAGTTCTGATCAGTTGACCAGCTATACTTTCAGTTTGTAGGGGAAGTCTTTTGTAACTTTAATCTGTTTTATCTCATTTTGTTTCTTTTTTAAACTTTTGATTTATTCTTTATGGTTTTCACATCATTGTCTCAGTCCCATTCATCTCCCCATCTCTTTGTATCCACCTTCTGCCCTTGTAACCTCCCGCCCAAAATAATAAAAAAGGAAAATATGCTATTGTGAAAGCTGTACAGTGGCACAGTGGGTCACACCCTTTAGTCCATATATCTTTGCTTGCAAGTGTTTATTGCAGACTCACTGGTCTGGTTTAAGGCTTCTGGTTTCTGCTACATTATAGATTCTAGACCCTCACCGGGACTCCTCTTGGTTGTCCTGTTGTTGCCCCGTGTCATGGAGATGCTGCAGCCTTGGATGTGTCGGACCGGCCCCTTCATGTGCTCCAGCAGGTCACAGATGGGCTGAATGCTGGGTTGGGCCAACTCATAGCCCTGGTTCTGGGCTTGGGTGGTTGCAGGGATGGTCAGTCGGCCAACTTTCCCCCATCCTCGCCACCAGGGTGAGCTCTGCAGCACTACTCCAGTTTGTTCACCCCTTGCAGGAGCAAGGATCAGGGCTGGTTCTGCTTTCATGCCCTCAGGGCTGACTCACCCGTCCTTACACCGCCAGGGCCAGCTCTCCTGTGCTGCCAGGCAGACTGCAGAGGCACTCTCCAAGTGCGGCAGCTGATGGGGGACAGGGCCAGCTCTCCCACCTGCCACTGGGAGCAAGTCCAGTTCTAGTCAGGGAAGGGAAGGGCCAATTCTGTGCAGTCCCATCTTCTTGGTCTTCAGTGGTGGTCGGAGCCTTGGGCATCAATACAGACTATAGTTGTTGCAGGGCCACAGAGCCAGACATGGGCTTTGGCAAAAGCCCAGGTCCCGACATCACCGTGGCCCTGGGTGGCCAGCAGGACATCCACCTCAGCCTGCTCCTCACTGCCTTCACTTCTTCAGATATGCCTCTGTCCACAGGACATAACCATCTGTCTCTCCCACACCCCACCTTATACTCCATAATAGTTAATATTATTAGTATTAATAGTTGCCCAGGCAGGTGGGGGTCTCTGTCTCCTGCTCAGACTTAAAGGCACCCTTATTTCTTATTTTTATATTCAAGTTATTTTCCTGTGTTTTCACACCGTTATCTAAAAGTAGTGTTTGTATCTTCTGAAGACTAATAAAATAGGAAGTCACTTTAATGAAGGTATCTAAGAGACCATAGGTTCTCTGGGCTGGAGGGACGGCTCAGAAGCTGGGAGCAGCAGCATCACTTCCCAGCATGCTCGTGACGGCTAACAGTCATCAGTAACTCCATTTCTAGAAGACCCAGTGTCCACTTCTGGCCTCTGTGGGCAACCGGCATACGTGCAGGCAAAACATACACACCTGAAATAAAATTTTTAAAATTTCACAATAGCCTTGAGAAAAATAAATACTTAGGAATTAAACCTAACAAAGGAAGTGAGAGCTTTAAGCGCTGAAGAAAGAGATAAAAACACTAGAAAATGAAAAACATCCCGTCCTTGTAGACTGGTAGAATAAATGATCAGTTTACCAAAAATTGGAATTGCAGTCCCAATCAAATTCCCACCTCATTTGTCTCAGAAATAATAATTTAAAAAGCTATCCTAAAATTCATATGGAAACAAAAAAGATCCAGGATAGCTAAAACAATCCTGAGCAAAAGGAGCAATGCTGGAGAGTTGCAATAGCAGACTTTTAGACACATTACAGGGCCATAGTAGCAAAAACAATATGGCACTGGCACAAAAGCAGACATGAAGACCAATGAAACAAAACTAAATTTGCAAACATTTGTACAAGCAACTTCAGCTGATTAATATTTGACAAAGATGCCAAAAACATAAACTGGAAAAAAGAAATGGTGCTCTAGGAAAACTGAATGCCCACACACACACAAATAAAATTAGCCTGTATCTATCACTTTGTACACACACAAAAGAACCAAATGCATCAAAGATCTGAAGATGCAACCTGAAACAGTGAAATCTTCCCGCAGTTACTACCTCCCAGCCCGATAGCTCCCAGACAGAAGGTTCTCTACACTTTGTTGCTTTGTCTTCATGGACCTGGTATCAGATATTTCCCCTTTTTAGACTGACTTAATTCATTTAATATTTTCATTCATATTATAGCACATGTCAGAATGTGCTTTATAATAATGATGCTAAGCGATAATCTATTAAATGTGTGTTCACTTTGTGTGTCCATCCAGTCTTCTATACATGTGGGTTATTTGCTGTTTATTGTGTGTCATGTTACCAAGTAAAGAGAGAGCTAGACAGAAATAACTGAACACTAATATCCCTAATTATTATCTGGGCAGTGCAGACTCTGAGATGTGTCTACACTGTTTCCATTTGTGGAAAAGAGACTTGGAGGTGAGTTTTATCAGCTCTTTAAAGATCTGTGTAGTTGTGTGTTTTGTGATTGAACAATATGATTGAAGTGATGCATGGGAAAAAGAGTTTATTTTTGGTTTGTGTTTCCAGAGGGAGAGTCTATCATGGTGGAGGAGGCATTGGCACAGCCATACCTGATGGGCATGGGAGAAGTCCTAGAGCCAGCACAGCTGTTTGACAAAGACCCAGCAAAGCTGAGCCCCATAATGGCCACCAAGCCCCGTTTGGTTTTCATTTCCATCTGCTGCATACTTGAGACTTTTAATATTTGTACAATTTGGGAATAATGAATGAATGGAAAATTTCTTATGAATCATTTATGCCTTCCCCCAGGAATGCTGTTTCTAAGCTTCCCCAGGACAGTCCTGAGCACACTATTCCCCCCTATACACTTTAGGGAGATATCCTTATCTACTTGAAGGTCTTCCTTATACCTTGGAGGTTGTGACACACATAAAGAAACCAGAGGTCTCTTTATGGGGCTATGGGACATTTTTGAAACATCTGTCACTGTACTTACTCAGGAACAAGATGGAGGGTCCTGTCTTTCCTGTTCCTCGAGGCCAAAACACAGGATGCAAGAATTGTTTACGCTAATCTGCTTAGCTTCCCCTGCTCATTCTGCCAGCGGGAGGGAATTAGTTAAAAGCCTTGTTTCTGTCATTGCTATGATAATTTCACCTGCTAAGAAGGTCCTCACGGGAGCCCTAAATCTCCTCTCATCTGTCTGTCAGGGTTCCCAGCTCGATACCGGCTTGGCTGTTCTGCCACTTGGCGCCAGGCGGTCAGCACTATGATCTCACTCCCAGGTGGGAGGGGGGCTCTCATCCTCTTGCCTCCAAGTATATAAGCCTACTTGTGCTGAATAAAGATTGACATTTACCCTTTGGGCAAATGATCCGATCTCTGTGTGTGTGTGTGTCTGTTCAACTCCTAGGATATTGATCCAGACTTGTGGTTCAGTATGGGAAGCGTGCCCTGTACCAGGAGAGTGAGGTTTCACAGAAAAGCGCAGGACAACAAGATAAAACAAAGTAAACTTAAAAAGGTCAAGATTCAGTGGGCTGGAGGAGCTGGCCACAGATCAGATCACAAGCTGCTTTCCCCTACACACCCAGGCAGTTGTGTGGCACATACAGCAACAAAGTTAGACGAGCTGGTCACCTCTGTCCTACACAGGGACTTACACTGATAGGCAAAGACTGTAGGAAGATAATAAAAGTATTCTATAAATATATAAAATAGAAACATTGCATTATGCC